CACAAGCATTTTCCTTCTTGCAGACAAGACGGGGATATTAATTTGTCTAACCGATTAGTTTGATGTTTTATTATTTATTGTTCAAACAATGAAGAAGAAATCAAAAGGTCTTTGCCGAAGCGCCAGGCAGTTCTCAGATCATTGTGAGCACAGGCAGTTCCCCCTTTATTATGATTTTTATTTATGTGTTTAGGAGACACCTTTATCCTGGGTTGGCTTACAGTGCTTACACAGATTACATTAAATGCTGGCATAATTTCTTCATTTTTATTTCCCCCAGAAGCTGGGATGCATCAGAAGTGGCTCCAGCATCTACAACATGAAAACTGTAATTTAGTTAGAATTGCTTTCTGAAAAAGAGCTAAATGACAATTTGACAAATTAACACCCAAATTAAGCCGAACACAGAGGTGACCAAAAAGTAGAATGAATAATTCAGTAGAACAGGAGAGACCTGTTTTTTATTTTTTTAAAGTGTTTATTATAGAACCTCCACTGTTTGTGTGTTCATAATGTTAACTTTTTTTTTTAGAAGCTAGATCAGACGGTTTCTGAGGTTGGTTTGTGGTGAGATACTATGTTTTATTATGATTGTCATGGAGACGGTGTGAAAAATTGAGAGCCACAGGCAGTAGCTGCAACTGAGTCAATAATGCTCACAGAGACATTGTGTAGATAATCAACAGCAGGGCCCCTGCCTCGCGCTTCACCACAAACAGCTGAAGGGCAAATCAATACAGCCAAGGAAAGGACACTGACCCTGTTCCACTTCCCACAATACACCATCAATATTACAGAAAAGGACCCAAAAATGTCACCTTTTTATTTAATCTTCGGGTATCTGCTGGGCCCAAAACACTTTAAAAGACCTATAAAAGAAGCATTTTATTCCAGAAAGCTCGTTGTGAGGGGTAATGTTTTAATGTAATATCCTGCCCTTGGTAGCAGCTTTAGCTTGAGGATTTATATGGATATAAATCCCAACAACAAAAAAAAGGACCACCTAATTTATAAGCATGACATGATAGAGGGGAAAAAAAAGAATAGTTTGCTGTCTCTGTAGTGTTTCTTGAAATCTTTCAACTGCAACATCGATGGTTTCTAAATGCAATTACAGTGTGAGGCATTGGGGGAGGGGAGGTGTTGTGATTTTTATAAATAGCTGAGGCGATGGTTTGAAAAACAAGCCAAGTCTTGTATGGTGTTCAATAAAGTACATGGTGTGTATTTTCGAGGCTAACACTTTGTTTTCTTGTTATCACCATCTTCCTCGAAGTACCGCACTTCTGAAAATGCTGTAAGATCTAGCAAAAACTCCTGCTCCATTTCCAGATTAAATGAACATGAAAGCCTAGGTTCCCTTTCTTCATAGTTTAAAATTAATAAGTAAAATTCACTATGACAATTAGTAATTGACCAATCAGTAGCTTGCAAGGTGGCAGAGAAATCAAGTACTGCATAACTCATTATTTCACACTATATTAACCTGCAGATGTTAACGCTTCAATGTTCTAGTTATCCATACTGCTACTGTACATATTTTTTCTTATTCCTTCTTATTCCTTTCTTATTCTGTGCAGGAATTTGGCACCGAATCCATGCCATTTATTAGTTTTTGAGGGCATACACTATTAATGCATAACATTTTCTTACTGTATATATATCATCTGTAGTTACATTTTTCATGTTTCTCAATGTTTAGTGATAGATGCTTGCAAACAAAAATGACAAGGCAGTCATTTTTATGTGGTCACAGAGAGGTCACAGAGATTAGAAAAAATAAGATAAATCAAAAATAATAACAGAAAAAAGACAAATTTTTTATTATGAGGAGATTAAGTGTGTGCACTGTTAAGATGATGCAACAGCAGCAGCATGTTACTGTGTTTTATAAAGGTGCCCAAATGCTATCACTGTTACAATATAAAGAAAAATGCTTTATATTATATTTGCAGCTGCTCTGTCTGGGCACTTCAGCACTGTTCAGAGTACTGACCATACATACACACCGGCAATCACACAGCACCTGCTGATAACTGTCTGCAAGTGAACCTCAGGGGAAATTTTGCTTTTCAAGTTCTGATGATTTCACCCCTTTACGTTGGGGAAAAAAAAACAGCTTTCAACGAGATACATGAAGGCAGAGAAATCTACAGAACACTTTGTGACACCCAAGACCACACCAGTTCATTCCCAGTACTATGCAATAAGGCTTTGAAAGGAGCTGGAATTATGTCCCATTCATACTAATATTTCTGTAAACAAATCCTCACTATGAACCTCAGAACCTAACGCCGAAGATGACAGACAACTGTAAGCAAAATGATGTGCAGGGTGAGGAATGACAGTCTGGTATTAATGAGTCCTCCTTTTGCCATGAGGCTTAGGTAACTGAGCAAGAGGTTGTATTTTGCTTTGTTTTTTTGTGAGAGAGCAGTTTTGAGAATGGTGCAGATCCAGTATGATGCTTTAGTTCTTGAGATTCCCTTACCTGCAGCCAGCCAGCATAGAACAAGGGACAGATAACTGACAGCGCTGAGTTTAGATGACTGTTTCAGAGTGACTGCAATAAAGGCGTTGCTGTGACTGAAATTCTTTCATTTCCCATAATTCAGTTTGTGTTAATGAAATGTTCAGGGGGCATGTCAGGAACCACCTCCACCTCTGTTTACCTAAACTGCACTCATGATACCACTTCCAACAATCTGTGAATTCCATAGTACGTCCCTCTTCTCTTCTTCACATGTGTCTATCTGTGTCCCTTGGTTCAAACCTCACTCTGCATGGGATCTTTAACATTTCATCTTGTGGAAAAGTGGTTGACCTTCCATCCAGCATGTTATGCCAAAGCTTCTATGCGAACGTCTCTAAAAAGATTCCTAAACACTTCTTCTTGCTGAGCATTCTTTCCTGTGAAGTTTCTGTTTTTTTTCGTCACTCACCGACAATACAATGACTTTCTTCATAATGACAGAAAAGGTGTTTTGAAAGCAGCTCCGCAAACTGGGACAGCTGCAATTGTCTGACACATTTCAATCTGATCTGTGTCAATTCATAGAAACTGGTTTAAATAATAAACCGTGTTTTGATTACAAGGACTGACAATACAAAGCGATCAACACATATTAAAAAATGGGCAGAAGGACTAAATCTCGATATACAGCCAGGATTCTGGTTGAGGTTTTTTTTTTAGAGAAAGATGAAACAATTCTTGCTGTCACCACACAAAATCGCTTTCCAATATAATCACAGGTCCTTACACTGAATGGAGTCCAACAGGTGTAACAAATAAAAATTGAACTATAAGCAGTTTTGACAGATTCCAAGCAAGAGCCATTGTCATAAAATGCGAGTAAAAGTATTGGGCAATGGCTGTTAGCTGTGAAGGAATGTGTACCTGTGCTAATATGAAATCCATGGCACGCCAACCCTTACAGTACCACTTCTGAAATACTCTCGTAAAGCAATGTGGCACAGCAGTTACGCTTCTAGAATGGATGGGTGTCAATTGCTGTACAAACCAGCTATTTTCTTTAGTAACAATAAATGACATTTGATTTATCTGTACTTCTGATAAAACTGGAAGCTGGCTTCCCGTCTTGGTGTGTAGCACTACCTTAACGACATTCATATTAGTCATATACTGTCTGAAAAATAAGAATCAATATGTTTCTCTACCTATAGAAAATATTTTGCTATACATGTGTAAAAAGACATCCATCCATTTTCTAACCACGTTATCCAATTCAGGCTTGCAGCGGAGCTGGATCCTATTCTGACAAGCAAGGGCATAAGGCAGGATACATCCTGGGCAGGACGGGCACACACTCACACCGGGGCCAATTTTCCCGGAAGCCAATTAACCTACCAGTATGTCTTTGGACTACGAGAGGAAACCAGAGCCCCTGGAGCAAAGTCTGGGCAATGTGAAGCAGCACAATGTGGCTCGGGACTCTGCGAAGAAATGTTATTACACAGGAACACGGGAACTTTCTGAAAAACAGAATTCCACTATGCTAGGGATGATGGCCGTCAAATTTGGAATTAAATCATTTTGACTGTTTGTAGAAAGAGACAGGCTGAAATTTGAGAACAAAAGCTATCCTGGTTCATGAAGGAACTCCATTTCACCATAAAGTAGTTGTATTGTTACTAGCTACTGCTGCCTATTACATTTAGAGTTCAATGGTCAAACAGATTATTTTTTTTTACGAGAGGTAGAGTATTTTGTGTTGTGTCCATCATATCAACAATGAACCAGCGTGGACTTCATTATTGTCGTGGGAACATAACAGGAGCAAATCTTAAAAAGCACATTTGCGGGTGAATGAAATCTAAGAAGTGCTACAGAGATTGCCGAAAAGATGAGCCAGGATGCCATCTTGGTTGGCAAAGAAGTACATGTGTTTTTTCCCATGCCCCTAACCATGTCTCAGGCACGACTCCTGCCTACATTGGAGATGAGCAGCTACACAGTGTCTGACTGGTGGCAGTTAGAATTTAGGGAAGTCACTCGAAGCTTGTACACTTAAAAGCATAAAAACCCTTCCATGCTTGGAAGCCTAATAAATACAATGACATTGGCAGGGAAGTTACTTGCGCCTGTCAGCTGCACAAGGACATTCGGTGCCAGAGGGAAGATTTCCATTGCAGATTTGTGCACATGCATGACAAAACCGGGGGCACAGTTGCTCTTATCAATCTGGTTCTCTGGATTTGTGCTCCTGGTACGAAGGCATCAAAGGTTAAATAACATTTACCCACCTCTCTCTTAATGCTGCAGCACAAACATGGGTGCCTGCTTGGGATAGCTCGCCTATCTAACAAATGGATGTGGCGCACATTTCACACTTTGACTGCCTTTCATTAAACTATTGATCCTCCGTGTCTTATCCGTAAGACTATGGCAGCTCGGCGGCTCAATGGTTTCGCAGGGCCGATCTCTCTCTCCTCCATCACTTTCTCACTTTATGGAGAAGAAGTCGTGGGGATTTATTTACCTGACACTTCCCAGTGCGGACATCATAGAGCGCCACAGTTCCATGGCGAGCTCCCACCGCTATCCTGTGACTCCGCTCACAGTAACCCACCATGTAGAACCTGCGGAAGGTGACGCAAAATTACCGGGAAGAGCAGAGGTATCGAACATATGGTGATCTCTGACCTGGGATGTGGAATGATCCTGAAAGAGGGGTTAAAATATTCTCCCACACCTTAAGTGTAGATTCCTGCACCTGGAAGGCCAGTGTACTGTATCAGCAAGCCTTCATTTAAGCCCAATTTGTAATGACTTAACCCAGGTCCTCAGTGGTTTAATCAGACCAATTAACCTATTTCTGTAGGTAGACGTACTGTAGCAAACCTGCAGACATAATTGAACCAAAAGATAGCTCTGCTCTAAACCATCTTCTCCAGATGCTTGATAAAAGAAGGTAATGAAAGATGTTTTTTTTTACCATTTTTGAAAACAACATTTCTCTTTAAAATAACTCTAACCACTATTCCTAAATCACTACAGGTCTCTGAAAGTGGTTAACAGCTCAGCTTGTATTTCCCTGAAAGCAGTTATGCAACTCAAACTTTGGTAACCAATAAAAAAGCATTGAAAAAAATACACTAAAATCCTTAATGTACATATGCACTCTATAATAATATGTGTTCAGAAACTAAAAGCCTGTATCTAAATTATTAAACAAGATGAGTTGATCATTTCAACCGACTTCTATCAATTCAGTTGATCCTTGGAAAAAGTATAATACGACAAGGTGTCCACTTCAACCACCCCTGAAACAGACCCTCATAATTTCTTAAACATAAGTAATTCAGAAATATACCACATTTTGATGTATGATATGGACAATTAAGCAAAACACAACAATAAGCCAAAATCAATGAGAACAGGAGCATGTCAAGTACTAAATTAACATGAGGAATTCCGGATTTGTATCTTAAGCCACAGTTTAAGATACTTTGTTTGTCTTTTTTTTATTGAAAAGACTGGATGAGAGTCCTATTAGATGCAAAATGTCACCAGGTACCAAACTGCAAAACAGTATTGCACCTTCTACAGCACTTTAACATTAACGTACAAAATACTGTACATCCCCCCTAAACTGCAAATACCATTGTTCTGTAATACTGTCTATTATTCTGGGTTATTAAAAATACAACACAGCAGTGGTGGCCATACAGAATGGAAATGTTCTGAGGAATAAAGAGAAAAATGACCTGGTTTCATGTGGTATGGTGACTTACCTACAAATTGCAGGAAAACACTCCTGAAGGCCTTTCTTCTTGACTAAAGATCCTTCAAGGCAGTACATTATGATGTCCATTACCTCAGGGAGGAAAGATCATTACAGAAATCAGTCACAAAAGCACGTACAAATTCACTTTTTTCCAAGATGTAAATGCAATGCGTCAATGTCTGAGACACTGAAAATTAATGTTGCTGCTGTTCTCAGGGGAAGAGAGAAAGCTGGCTGCATAGCTCTCTTCCTATTCATCGTTTTAGACTTTAATGAAAAAGAAAGGGGTAATCTATTGCCAAAATCCTCATCAAAACTATGCTTAATGCACACTTGTACCAAATTAGTAATCATTCTTTTGAGATACTTGTATATTAAAATGCACTTTGGCTTTAACACCACAGTAATTACTAATTACAGAGTGATTAAACTGATACAGGGGTAATGATGTTATTTAATGCAGAGTAAGTACTTCAAGAAATCAGACACTTCCTTATGTACAGTAGTTTAAAAAATTGCAGAGCATGAATAATAGTTTTATTGTAAAATCCAGTGATTTTACAGTCTTTTCAAAGGGCCAGTTTCCCTGTCTCTGGTTTAAGGGTGGGACTTGATGATGCTACTAATTTCAGCACGGCAGGGTTTTTTCTGTGTACAAAACGGACTGCAGCAAATGCTTGCGGCCTTCGATTTCTGTTCATTAAAACTGCGCCGGAAATGTGTGCGCTGGGATAGACAGGTGATCTCTTCTCACCTCCACGAGCAGGTCTACAACGTCGGTGGGCATCTTCTCGATGAGGATCTCGATGACTCGGAGGATCTCAGCCTTGGCGCGTGCCAGTGTGGTGGTGTGGACGTTCTGCTGGGACTGAGTGTTGGCCTGGAGAGCAGTGTGTCTGTGGACCTGCAGAAAACCAGCAGAACCGCATCACTGACACATCTCTACTGCCACCAGCTCCTTCTCTCTTTGCTCGGATGGATGATTTACATTTTGCTGCAAAGAATCCTGAAGCTTTTGTGAGTGAATATGTAATCCACATGGAAAGGGAGCACTGATTACATGCTTTATAACAAACAGCTAACATTATTGATATACTGTACTGTTTTGCTGGGATATTTAAAAAATGCAATTTATTATTTTAATTCATATTCATTGACTAAACACAAGAAATGTCTCTAACTAATCTGTATATACACTGTATATACTTCATGTTTAATTTTAGATTGAAGGTGTTTTTTAGAAAACAATTCACATTGCACTGATCGAAACCAGTAAAACAGAAATGCTGAACAGCTTGTAGTAAGATTTGTTTGGTGTATTCAATCATGGGAGAGGCTCATAACGAAAGTGATTTAAAGAAACTAAAAACACAAAGCTTTATCTGTGCAAAGGAATCAGTGGACTCCTTAGCTCACTTCTCAAGGAAATCTCTCACCTGCGCTTTCCTGTTTACTCAGTGTGTCCCATTTTATGGGTTTTTTCCCCATACAGGAGGGCACACTGATTCACCTTCGCCCTCACCAGACGAGTTGAACTAAACTTCTACCTACATAACAGACGTGAATCTGAAATAACCTGTCCTAAACCTAAAGAGGAGACCGCTGGCAGGTCAGAAAACTGGGGTTTTTTGTAGCACTGGAAAAGAGGGATCCGAAGGGAAGAAAAGGAAACCATGCTGGCACTGCCCCCCCGCGTTATTAGACCGGCTGATACCCCCAACTTTCTGCGTGGGCACAAGTCCTCCTCCGACTTCTTCTCCAAACCCAGGGCTTCGAGCAAGACAAGGGCTGTAGAGCACCCCTCAGAGAAGACCAGGGGAGCAGCAGCAGCGAGGTGGGGCGGGGGGGGTTGGGGTGGACTGCGATCAATCTGACCGGACCCCCGCGGCGACGGCGAGGGCCGCCCCCCCCGCGGGTGGACAAAGAGAAGCTCCCGTGCACGCGCTCGGCGGAGCGGCGATTAGCGACGGGGCGCTCACCTCCCTGGCGATGGTTGTTATGAAGGCTGGTGGTCGGGCCGTGGCGATGAGCGAGAGAGCGTGTCGAGCCGAGCGGGCCGAGTCCGCGCCGGGGCTCAGGGGCAGGCCCATTGTGATGCTAACGAGGGAGCAGACAAAGAGGGAGGCAGCAAAATAAAAAGAGGAAGCATTAGAAATATAGAGTGAAAAGATTAGACACAGCTTATAATGTCAGTTCAAGGTCAATGGGATCATTCAGACAGTTAGAATATAATAGACTCCCAACAATGCGGAATAATTAGGAGTCTGGGTGTTCCAGCGTCAACAACACAGCCGGAACAATTAAGCGTGAAAATTGAAAATAGTTTGTGCATCTGTCTCAAATGTAAAAAGGGCCTTGTTAACAAATTATCCAGGGCCTGTGCAGAATATGTATCAGGAATCGCACTGCGAAGGCCAATATCTGGCCTAGATGGAAGTCACTGAGCCATTGTAGTGAGGAACAAATGCCTCTTTGACACGCAGCCAAAACTTTCAGCATATCAGCATGATCATGATGTGATCCACAGAGATACTGTAAAATACATTCAGTTATTCTCAAGGTCAAACCATCTATTGGATGCATATATGTGCATTTTAATGTATATATGTGCCTGTTTATATAGCATATATGTGCGCTACATTATGCAACACATGGCGAAGAAGACAGACTGTGGTATTTTAAAAAACAGATTTAAAACAAGACATCTACCAACATAACAGACATGAATCTGAAATAAGGAAAACGATATGCAAACTTGTTTAAAAATGATATGGAAGGCGAGAGCATTATAATGTTAAAACATGTTTGTTGAAATTTAAAAAAAATCTACCAAAAATACAACTGAACCTTGATAGGGTGTTCATCCTTCTATGGCACTTTATCAGACTTTTCTTCAAAAAGTCAATATTAAGCCATGTGTATATTAAGGCCAACCATTTACAGATCAAAACTGGCACATCACAATAAATACTATTGTACCTGCTTTTGAATGAGATAATGCCAAACATTCATTGCCACGGACATAAATGGGTAAAGCTTACCAGCTACGTTCATCCCTTATCCCTTTTTAGGACTAATGCTGTGGTAGTTTAAAAGATATTATCCGAAAACAAAATCATAGATCCTGTTCCAGGATTACTAAACAAAAACCTAGCCACACTCCGAACACTGCAGGTTACTTGAACAAGCTCTGCTAGGCTTTTGTTGCACTTCCAAAGTCTCTGACTGAACAAAGAGAAACCAGGCAAAATGAAGTACAGATCCCCCTTTTTCAACATTCACATAATGCTTTCACATATAAACAATCATAGTGCTATTAGGCCATGTTTTTATAGAACAGCTGGCATAAATGCATCTCAATATTGTCTCTTTGAAAAAGGAATCACACAGCCAATGGTCAGATACTTCACTATAAAGGCTTCGCGGGGGTTTCTTTCCTTTGTCAGCAGAAGGTTTACAAGCACAAAGATCTTTTGTCCTAAAATGCAGAGCCAAACACTATTTTACTCTAAAATTAGCAGCTGTCAGCTGTCAGTCAGGTTGATTTGATCAGCGTAGATTGATAAGGCACCTGTTCTGAGTCACCTTCATATAGAACTATGCTGAGAATAAGATAAATCGTGAGTCATTAAAACAAAAATGTTACGGACAGAAATACAACAAAAGTATTTTTTCTAAGCATCAGTATAAAAAATACTAGTATTTCTCTTATCTTTAAGATTTTAAGTCAGTCTATATAAATAACATTACACATCATGATATGCGATGACTTAAGAGACGCAAATTTCTTTTGAGATTTAACACAAATAAAAATACCCAAGATGCAGAATGGTGTGAAAATCTGAACATTTTTAATTGTCAACTTGCACATGTACCTGAATAAGCTAAAGGTTTCTGGGAGTTTTGAAGACTAGCTTGTGGGTAGAAACAATGGCAAACAATCTCTTTAGCACGATCATGCTTTGTGGAAAATGCAGCAGGTACTGTACAGAGGGCTTTGTTTTTCTCACTGCCCTTTACTTTATAGTGCCTTTCACTGAATTCACCTGCTGTTCCACTGAGAGGATTCATACAAGCAATCCCCCGCTAACTCTGAGAAATGCACATAACAGCCTTAGAGGGGGTTCTTCATTCTTTATAGTTTCAAAATAGGCCTAAAAGCAAAAGCATTCCTACTTCTGTTCATAATGGAAACCATTCATTCAAACCTTTTCTTTCTTTTATTTCAACACAAATTAAAACTACCATATTCTTGAATAGAATGACTATTTCTCTCCGCCTCGTAATATTTTACCTATAGCTTGATAAACTCATATCAAACCAAACAAAACATTTTCTACAGGCAAAAGTTTATTTTCACAGGACACAGGAGTGTCAATGATCATATTGATTTTCAAATTATTTTAAATTTAAATCAGAAAATGTATGTGAATGACAGTTTCACACTAATAAGTATAAAAACAGCAAAACAAAATACAGCAATACTATAATGGTTGAAACAGGCAGCCAACGACAATAATTAGGAATAAAAATAATAACTTTCTAAAACTAAGCAACTACTTTAAGAGCAGTTAAAAAGGAGAGAAAAATAAGGTGTGACAATGAGTGCTTCAGAAAGAGCAAAAAACAACACAGAGGAAAAGCTAACCTCACGAGATGAGCCACTTTTAAATTTGATGTCACTCTTTTCAGATCTTCTATTGACTTTATGAGGGTTCAGCTGTTTTCCACTCAAAGGTTCATTAATGCTTAATTTATGTTTCCTGATAAGCAACAGGCGTTTTCTCCCACGTGTGAACTAGAATTTAGCCCCCTGCCACTTTTACACCCTCCAAATGGACACAGACATTTTTATTCTATGTGAGGACTTACAATTGACTTACAGTCCATTTGACTATTTTACTATTTGGCACTTTCAAATGCAAGAACTAAATAGAGACAACAATTATCCTAGCAAGCCAAAGGAAACAGAAACATTAGGAAGATCCTATAAGGTAATCAGAAAAGGTAAGCACTGTAACATATTTTGTCTTTTCCTTTATTGTATGTCTAATCCATAAAATAGTTATAGTATTATTTACCTATGAATGTTTTGCTTAAATAAATAATTTTATTTTAATGAATTGTATTTCAACTTATTTATTCAAAGGAATGCTGCTACTGTATATCTGTGATATACCACTTAAGCAAGGTAATAATACAGAAAAAAAAAGAAATCATACTGAGAAACAAAAAAAAAAACTGTTTTCCTTAAATGACAGCAGTGAAAAAGAAAAATTAAATACAGGCTTTGACAGAGAAAATTTCTGAAATGTTTTTTCCCCAAATCCAAATCTTAGAATGATGTTTTCAGGTGAAAGGGACTACAGTGCGTACTTTGTAAGCACCTGTAACATTCAACAGATTGGAATTTAACTGTAAGCAACTGCTAAATATGCTTCATTTTTAAATAATTTTAATAATGAGTATTTCCACCTTCATTACTTTCCTATAATTAGCTACGCCATTGGCAGTATCAAACTATTTTAGCCATAATGCAATCATTCACTGATACATGGCAGTACCGATCACTCTGTAAGCATCTGCATTGCAGGCTCATTTCTATCTGCGAGCACACACAGCAGCACAAGCTGTCCCATTCTACTCAGCAGGGAACCGGAACAACATAATCTCAAGACTAAACAAATGAATACACCGCCACCAAATTCTTGTTCACGAAGCTCCATCGATCCCTCTTTCAGAGTTCTCAGCGGTTTCTTTTTGCCGCCCTCGTCAGTTGAGCCGATCCTTTTCTTCTACGGTTGTATATATATATAAAAAAAAAGAGCCGACATGTCTTGTTCTGTCTCCACTGTAATTTCACCCCTGCGTCCAGCAACAATAAACAGCATCCTCTGACTGATCGCGTGAGATTTTAAAAAAAAAAACAACAATTTGAACGTTTTTAACATTTTAACTAAAAAAGCACAAAAGAAATAAAAAAACCTACTGAAGACTAAAATTACAGAAAAGAAGATATTTAGTTTGGGGTAAGATTTAATAACTTCTGATTTTCTAAAATATCATGAAACATGGTATAAATATTGATTTTTAAAGTTTTTGCAGCTGTATCTTTGTTACTGATGTATAATGTTTATATATAAATAGCTTGGTATACATTTATAAAAAAATACAAAACAGAAAACTGTGTGGAACACAAGCATGCAAATCAATGTAGCCACACACACTTGCAGGGATTAATCAATATTGTAATTTAAATATTGACTGATATCAACAATCAATAGCCACAGCAATCGCTCTAAGACATGATAGGACACTGAAGAAATACATTTACATTTTTCACAATCCCCTCAGCATGTTTAATATCTGCAATGTCTGCTCTTTAACAATGTAGGTGGTTCAGGTTTTTCAGAAACTAAAAACAAAAATGGTTTCAATTCGGAGAGATGAACATAAAAAAAATCTTATTACAAAATGTAATATTGGAAGCTAGATTCTTTTTTTAAAAAAAATGATGTTTTCCTAATCCTCCTCTTCAATTTAATAAAATCTCAGATGTAAAACACAAAGCTACAAAATATTAAGCCACTTTCACACTAATAACTAGCGTGAATATGGTTTAATGTTTAGTCTAAATTTTAAATGTGCTGAAGTTCTTTTTTCAAATGTTGTACTTCTATCCAGTTATTGTTAAAAGAAAAAACAACAATAATGACACTAACATTAAATCTAAAGCAGTTCCCAAATGTTTGTTTTCTGGCAATTAATATAATCGAGAGGATGTTTAGTTATTTCTGTGCGAGAAGCAGCACAAGAGGATTATTCAAGATATCGGCACATTTACATAACCGTGACTTGAAGCCATTTGCTTTGTTATAACCCGATCTAACAATCTGTCAATACTCTTACTTCAAAGACAGTAGGTAGGGGTAAATATTATTTGCAGCCTGCATCTTAATGTACAGAATTATACTTAACCATGCTGGAAAAGGAAGTGGTACTGCACACTGGACACACCCCATGGTCAATAAGTTGATGTTCGACCAGCTATTAATTTATAATTTGTAACTAGAATTCTATTTTTCTGATCATGTATT